ATGATGATGATGACTTTAATGACACAAACACAAAGTAAATGGAGAGTATGGTCTTATCATGTATGATTTTTTCCAAATATGAATGTAAAAAAAAAAAGAAAAAAAAACAGTAACTGATAAACATGTGTAGTTTAACATATTATTAAAAGAAACATGGATATGAATGGTGGAGGGGAGGGGTGGGGATGGCTGCAGGAGGACTGACTGAAGAGAAGAATTTTGAGTGACACTTGTGAAATGGGATAGGACAGAAATCGTACAGTATGGTGTTAGTTTTAAGCAAGGAGAGATTGTTTTTTTATAAGATATTAAAAAAGACCAGTCGTACTCTACAAGTCACCTGGTATGGCAGTGTGCATTGTTTGCAGACATTGCAGCCTTTAAAACTCAGGTGATTAATGGAAATGAAGGACTTTTTTTTACCATTTTCCCAGTCTGGTTTCCAAATACCAAAAGATATTCTTGTATTGTTATGCCAGAATAAGCACCAAATCATGCATGAGGAAAATGGTGAAAAAAAAAAAAAAAAACTGACAGCTTAAAAGTTGCTATTCATTATCTTCTTTTAGAACATGACAGACAAGCAATTGCTTCGGAATGCTGTTTGCATGTTTTTTCTATATCCGACTTAAGTTCCCAGTGTAGTTTAACATTGCCAAGGACATTAGTGACTATGGTAATAAGAGATGACAAGTTTATTTCAAGTCACAGGGATTATTTCGTGTCACAGGGATTAGCTAGAACATATCCTACGCAGCTTTATACTGCAGACATTTAAGCAGCTTTGCCTTCTGTGCAGTTCGTGTGATGACTGGTTAAAAAAAGTTTTTGGTTTTGGAGGAAAAGGATCATGAAAAAGAGAAACAGTTTAGAATTTTCAAGAGATTTTAGAGTTGGAATTGGAAATTTTTTGTAATTTTTTTTTTTAATGAGAAACACTTAAAGAGGATATTGCAGTTCCCTAGGCATTTTCATACTTGTGCACATTGCTTGCCCCTTGTGACAGCCTTGTATCTTGCCAAAATAGCACGAGTCTGACATATGGCTGCGTAGGATGGTGTTCAAGCACGAGACGCCATCTTGTGATCTCTGTGGTTACGTCAAAGCCTCTTGAATCCCGATGACACAGTCACAAGGAGAAAAGAAAGACCTACTTCTGCTTAATAACCTGAAACAATGAGATAAAGTGGCCAAAATCAAGTTCACTTGTTTTGTACTTGAATTGAGTGTGAGGAAATGTTTTTCCTTTGTTTAATTTTCAACTACCCCAAAGTAAAGTTTGAAAAAGAAAATTGTCATTGAAGGTTTGGAATCATTTTAAAACAAATCTAGCTTACTTGAGTTGGCAAAGTGGAAGTTAACAGAACTGAAATGAAAGACATTTATTTATGCAGAAGTAAATCTTCATCAGCACGCTAAGAAGTGCTGAAAAACATTCTTTTCTGATTTTGATTAGTCAGTTTGTACCTCTTGCTGAGGTGGACCAGCAGTGGGGGACCTCATGGCGGGAGACATGGGGACAATTTTATATGGTGTCTTTTCTTCTTTTTGTGTAATCAGACATGAAGTTTTAAGATTTTTTAGTCCCTGGGCAACTTGAGGTAATAAGTCAGTCGAGTAATTCTCCCAGTGAGGTGGGATTCCACTTACAGCTTGTGCTCTGCTGAAACAGGTGCTGGTATGAAGGGGAAAAAACGTAGCAGACCAACCATAGCATAGGGGATTTTTTATGAGGGGAGGTGCTGAATTTTTTGCTGTGTGACTGTTGGATTTGTAAAGTGAATAGTGTCTTCATCAGTTACTGTAAAAAATGATGAAAAAACTGTTTATCTCATGTTGCTTTTTATGATTTTTTTCCTAAAAATCATCCCATTCTTTTCTGGAAAAAGAATGTCCAGGTGCATTTTATAAACTAGAAGCACAAAGTGAAATTCTGCCAAAAAGAATTAAGAAGACCTTTGTTCATTTATATCCATTGGTGCATGAGAAAATGCCTACATGGAATGTTGAAGTGCTCCTTTTTTTCTTCTAATAGCAAAAAAAAAATGCAAGTTGATCCTGCCTACCTATTTGACAGCAATAAAATTAATGGTTTGATCCAGTATCCCAAAGTGCCGCACTAAGGTCAAATTGGACACCTGAATGAAGATTTTATGACTGTTGAAACTGGAATGGAATTTTTAAAATGTTGTGTGAATTTTATTGCAAGTTTTTCAAAAAGTTTTCAAAGCCCCTGTAGCTAGAAATGCAAGGTGTCAGGTGGAGTCATGTTCCTCCATATTCATTAGAGGATGAGTACAGTTTTATAGCGTGCACACTCACAGACACGCACGCAAACCCACACACACACCCACACAAATCCACATGGCTTGCACACAAACCCTCACACACACTCAAACATTGCGATCACTGGGTACATGATAAGTTCAAATGTCATATACACATGCATGCACAAACACATGAATGCATGCAAACGGGGTCAGCTCTGTGTAACAAAGATTCTTCATGATGTAGAAGTGCACCCAGCAAACCCACACCCATGTACACATTCATTGTACTCACTGACATAGAATTTGTCCAAAATTTTTCTTTTCTTTATTTTCACATTTGGATCCCAGCTTACCTGATACACGTTTTACCTAGGGAATTCAGAGCTACATAAAATAAAGAGAAAATAAGCCAGTAAATAAATTCAGCTAAATTAATGTAAATATATTCATTTCATCATTGCTTCATTACATATAGACGAGATATTTAACTTTTCTAGCACACTGCTGTAATGAAGAGTCCTGCATGCCAATTTATCCTTGGAATCATGCACAGCAAATTGCTATATATCTGACAGTTATTGACTATTATATCATGATCATTAACAAATAGGATGACTTTTTGATTTACCACAGTATATTTGCCACGGCAGACCTCTAAATCAGTGTGTAATTATTCATAACTGGGAACAGGCTCTAGAGATACCAAGCACTGGAGTTGATGCCACTGAAATATTGCAGTTCAATATGCAGTGTTTGCGGTACCATTTTGTATTCATAGCCATATCTTCTCTTTCTCTGTCCTAGACAGACCAAAAAAATATATGAATAATAAAATCATTGGCTGAAACTGCTTAGAATTCGATTGAAAGTCATAAATGTCTTCTATCTGTTCCATTATCTAAGCGGATACAAATTATTTCGTCATGTTTTAATGCAAAAGGCAAACTGGCAGTGGGTAAATTTTTTTCTTTGTCTGAGTGAATCATAACAACCAAAAGAATTCCAAGTCTCTTCGGTTACTTTTCTATTCTAAAAGGATGGGATACTGCAGAAAGATACACAATAGAATGTTTGGACAGAAAATACCGAGAAATAGCGAGCATCAGTTGGTGGAAATGTTGCCACCATCCCTCCTGACATTGGTATGCCTAACCTTTTAGTTGCTCCTGCACCATGAAAGGGGCCCCCATGAAATTGGTTGTGTTGCCCCTTGGAGGGATAGTTTTATGCATTTTGACTGAATATGAAAACCATATTTATTCTAAAACTTGTGTTCTTTTATATGAGAATGTTTAAAAGCGTAGGGAATTGACCTTTGGGAGTAGCCTTGCATAATGCAAAAAAAAAAAAAAATTGTCATTATTTTCCACAAATATTTGACTGGGCAGATCATATTTTCTTGCAAATTTTACACAGTTATTGAAAATAGAGAGGAAATTATATTAGGTCAGGAAAAGTAAATAATCGAAAGATAGGATATGATTTCAGATGCGTTTTTTGCAGAACCCACCTTATGCCATAGTGATTATCTGTTTATTTTCAGCTACTTTAGATATAGATGTAAAAACAAAAGCATTCAGGCACGGTCAGCTCACGACTCCCATCTTTCAATTCAGTAGCAGCTAACATAAACTGATGTCTGACATAACCAAGCTATTTTGAACAATAAAAGATTTAGTAGTGGGGACTGACTTGCCTATTTTATATCTCCATGTCTTTCATCATATCTGACGAAGCTGACACAACCTTTCACCATACACGTCATGCTGTGGAAATGTTTCTGTCAGATTGCTGAATTTGTTTTTGAAAGACAAAATGACAGGCTAATGGAAGACCGGCTGAAGAGAAAATAGGCTCAAACTTCAATTTGTCATTGTAAATGTTGTTTTGCTGGGCAAAGATGACACCACACGTGTACTCTGTCAACATGAAGAGTATCTTATAGAAGGAATTATTTTAGGAACTGTTTTGTTTTCTGGTGTGCTCTAATAATTCAAGCACAGTCATCTCTCTCTCAACATACTAACTTTTAGTCTGTCCTAGGGGCAAAAAAAGCCACCCAGCTTAAATTAATTCTCACAAAAACACCTCCCATTGTTTAATTGCAGGGTCCATGGGTTTATGTAGTCCGTAGTCATTATCTTTTCATGATATACAAATTTCTCTTTGATCCCTTTTCAGAAGAGAGCCATTTGTTTATATTTAACCTTTGAAAGGGCTCTAGTTTCCCATGAGATTTGTGGATTTTTTTGGCTCTTGTTTGCATCCTTGTGGGCGATCTGAAGGCTGTTTGGTTTTCAAGTGTCTGCTATCCAATTGAGATAGATTGGTTTTTAACTGTAGTTAAGTGGATAGCTGGTTTGCCTGTACCAAGAGAGATAGGAATGACACTGAATATGCTTGGTTTGTTTTTACCTGTCACATGGAGAAGATAGGAATATTGGAATGACATTTGTCTATTTGTTTTGTTTTCTACTGTGTTTAAATGAAAATAAATAAATGGATGACAGATGAGATTTGCATATTTTGAAATACCGTATCAGTGTAGTTTTATGATATACAGATAATTTGTAGCTTGATTAGATTATCCAGTTTTTTTCTTCTCATACACATAAATCATGATTATTACCACAAAATTGAACTCAAATCATGATTATTACCACAAAATTGAACTCAATTCTCTTTTGCTTAATACTTCACTAAAATTTTGCATTTCTTTTGTCTTTATAGCTCACTAAGTTGAAACTTCATGACTGCAGCCAGTATACAACTTGCTCGGCCTGTCTTGCAGCCAAGGATCCATACTGCGGTTGGTGCCCCCTAGAGACCAAGTGAGTGTGTTTGGAACGTCTGCTTTCAGATTAAAAAGATAATGAAACAAGGCAAAAGGGGAAAAGTTTCAGTGGATTGCTGAATAAAAATGTTAAACAACATTTTTTTTTTTTTTTTGCAAAATTCAATTTTTAAAATGTTTACACGTCTTTATTGATGAAACTCAGTTTTTTGCTTTTACCACTGCATTGTTTGATAAATGAAAGAAAAAACACCTCTCATTGTTGCCGAGTACAAATTTAGTCTGAAGAAAAAGCATAACTATTGATTGATCACGCTATAGGTGAGACACCCTTGCTGGATCTGGTTTTAAAAAATATGTAAAAGGAGATGGAAAAATGTGTTGTGCCTGTGAGAACAAGTGCTTAATGTCTGGGACAGGTGTGCGGGAGCTGAAACTGAAAGAAGCTCAGGTGGCTTGTGATGTTTCTCTTCAGCCAAAGCATCTGAGACACAGACTGAGGTGCCTCCTTTGAATGTAAGCATTTTTCTCTAGTTTGTTGAAGAGAAGGAGCTTGCCCAGTTCTACAGTGTACGGATCCAGGTTGAAATTCAGAATTTTTACGATTCTCATCAAGGGACAGAATCTCATTTCATTTCAGTTTGCTCATAAAATGCAGTGATTTGGGAGGATCAAATATTTATTTTTATTTATTTTTTTTTTTTGCAATTTTCTATTGTGTTAGCGTAGGTGGACAAGAGGGCTGAGTTGAAATCGTGGCATCTTTTTTAAGGGTCTATGGGTGGACGGTTCAGTCAAATGTTAATGTGTTTATAATTATGTGTGCGTGAGATAAAAATAGACCAAAGTGTAGGAATGTTTAAAAGAGGGGAAAAACTGGTTGTCAACTTCACATGTTGATCAATCATCCATTTTCATTCCCCAAAGCACAAAAGTTGAAATGTGACAAATTGACCAGAATTCTGCACCAGTCACATGTTTATTTTTTCTTATTTAAAAGTTACTGGCTGTCATTTCGTCAGTCTGAGTTGCATTTTTGTTGGTCTAGACAAACTTGTCAGTGTGTCTCTTGCCCATGACTGGCAGTTACCTAGATACCTGCACGGGAGTGTCCTTGAACAGTACAAAATATTCCAATATTTCTTTTTTTTTTCGAAAATCACATCAGGTGGATCAAATTCAGAAGTGGTAAAGAGATCACCTGATTTTGTAGAAACACTTGTTGCATGAAAAGGTGTTATCACAATTATATACATATTTTTTCATTGCATTTTGTTTCTGCTGTTGTTGTGATTGTTGCTGACGTTGTTGTTGTTAAATATGAAACTAGATGCAGAAGGTTTCATTTTTGCCAAAATAAGAAAAAATGCAAAAACAACAATAACTTCCAGATATTTATGTCTCAATTTCTTTCAAATGTTTCAAAACCTTTAAAAAAATGGACTTGAACATCGTTACTGTCTGGTGGAGCTTAAAATAAGCCCCCATACACTTGTGAATACTTGCTGCTTGAACTCTTCTATCTTGGCTACACTTAGGTATGTAGCCTGGTCTTCACTTGCCAAGACTTGAATTTAGTTCAGTTTCCTGCCTCTTGTACTTAAATTTATCTTGAGTTGAAGCATTGTTTGCCCGACATTCCTTAACGTGGGATACTTAATGAAAGTGTAAGTGTTGCAAAAGTGACAGCCCATTATATGTCTTACCTGGGTGTCTTAGATGCTGGCACCATCTATTGTGAAGAACGTGAGTGTTAGGAACATTTTGTGTGACTGCGTGCAGATGCTTATATGTGTGCATTTGTGTGCACGTAGGAATATATGTGAACATGAATTAAAAATATGATAAAATAAATGTATTTGTATGTGTGTATGTATTTTCCTGTGCATCAGTATGTATGTGTGTGCGTGCATTCACATATTTATATACTAGTATGCCGTTGTTATTGTGGCTTGAAATGCATGTGAGTGCACATAAAACCAAACACCCAGTTAAACCAGCTGCCATGAGGGTGCACACTCAAAATGGTTCTCCAGATTAAATTTGATGTCAATTAACACATAGAAATGAATACATTACAGATGCAGCCTAAGAGCAGAATGTCAAAATGCAAACCTGCAAAAAGGATGGCTGCCGTACAGCGGTTCGGTGTGCACTGCCATCAACGAGGTCTCTCCAGACAAGGTGCAGATAGAGCAAGGAAAAACCACCAGCGTAAGTATAGAAAGAGGTTTGGGAGGTCCAGTCTTTCACCCACATATACATGCCGCCAAAGCAGACACATTTTTTTTTCAAAAACTTAATACTGTTGATTCCAAGTAACAATTTACAGTACCACTAGCATCAGTATATGAAGACATTCCTTTAATTTGTTGTGGTCACTAAGTGGTCAATGGTCAGTGATTGCCTCATGGGTAGAAGACATACATGCACATATAACTACACAGTCACCAGCATTCGTAAGAAGAAGGTGTAAGAAAAAAGCTTTAGAGCAATATTCTGCTTCTCCCTCCGAGATGCCCCCTATAATGGGAAGAATGTGCTGGAAAAACTATTTTCACAAATATATCATCTTTTCTCTGAAGAAGGTTTATATTGATGTTTCCCCCAAAATATTCATAATCATTGTTTCTGAAGATTTTTTTTAAAGATCGACCAAAATGTTCACTTTTGGGAAATCAATCAACTTCCTCTGTTGTGCATTGAAAATCTACTTTGTTTCTAAGGCCGTCAAAATCCTACCAAAATCAAAATCCCTACATGCAGCTTTCATTTCATTAGCCTCAAGCTCTTCTGTGATTCAAAGGATTTTATTCCACTTTTATTTCATTGAATTGCTTCAGTATAGTCGGAAAAGCTGAGGTATCAGTGCCAGAGGCTTTTAAAAGGCTTCTCCTCCTGTGAATCTTTTTTGATGAACTCCAAAAGTAAGTGCTTAATGACAGAGAGATATCTCAATGGGAATTTATTGTACTTTAAAGTTCAACTTCACAGTGAGTTATTGTTTGTTTTTTTGCACTGAATTTTCATCCACCCAGCGCATTCTTTCCCTCCTCCAATTCATCGTGAAAATTAAGAATTCAGATTTAGTGGCTTTTGGTAGTGTAAATTTTTTTTCATATAAAAGTAACAGCCACTAGCCCAGACCTGTTGTTCTTTTTTATTGTGGCCCTGACAGTGGATAATTGAAAGCAGTTGGGTTCATAAATTTACTGCACCTCATCAGACAGGCAGTGCTAAATTACATGGTGCTGGTGGAAAAGAGGTTTTTTTTTCCCTTGCATCCTAGTCTAATGAAAAATACCATTTTTATCTGTCAGTAAGGTGCAATTTAGACCTCCCCCCCCCCCCAATAAGGAAAAATAATGATGATGATAATAAAGCCCTTGTCACATATTCAGATGCCTAAGCTTTCACACTCATATGTATTTGTATTGCACATGCGCGCGCGCACACACACACACACACACACACACACACACACACACACACACACACACACACACACACACACTTCTTTACAAACATATCTCTATTTCCTCCAAGCATAATTATGTAAAGAGCATTGACCAGTTTCCTATAATTTGTTAAATGTGGTCACTTATATTAATAGTCAAGGATCTGTGGTTACTTCATGGATAAAAGGTATTTACATGCACTTGCAAACATGCACACATATTTGATACACAGATCACACTTTCGCTCGAATAAGAATTTAGCATCAAGAATAAATACAGCACCCGTCACTGATATTTGACCACTTAGTACAAGTTTTTAACAGGTTACGGGTTAATGTGCCTCTTACAGCTAAATGCAATATTTCATGAAACCAAAGTACTCGTTATATTATAAACATCATTTCTTTTTATCAATATCCTTCTCTCGGACAGACCGTAAGTTATGACTGTCTCCTCAGTTAGGCCTGGTGCATTGTTGTTATTGTCCATGTTTTAGTGTGATTAGGCAATGAAAACATGTTGGAACGTTAACATGTTTGACTTTGGTCCTTGATTGACACCTGTCATTGTATGTTAATTGTTGTATTTTCTTAATTACCATCTGGTTCATTACCTTTGGCTGTTGACCCTCTTAGAAAGGCATTACTGTTAGGTGTTGAATGGAAATTCCTCTCGTTTTGTTGGCTTGATCAATTGTGGCTTTTAATTTTAGTGCGCTTATGGCATTTTATTTGCATTTATGTTGACACAGTTTTACTATTGAACCTCTTCTCCTGCCATCTATTGGAATGCACTTAAGGCTCTGCTCGCGTTAGGTCCCAATGGCCCAATTTTGATTAGTTCTACATAGGTATCAGAGGTCCTTATTTGAATCAAGCCTGTGTGCACACAGCACGACTCCAAACACAACTCTTGGCTTCCATATTCAACCAAAAGTTCACATTAGTGATTCTCTGCTTGATCAGTGTGCTCGATTAATTTTGGACCTCTGATGCTTTCTAGATCGAATCAGATTGGGTCTCGTGGACTTTAACGTGAATAACACAATTAAAGTGGTGCATTTTCCATATCCAAAGCATTCCTACGATGCTAAACAAATCCATTATGCCAAGGTGGACAAGAATACCAAACATTGCACTTAATGTGTTGAACTAACAAGGCAATAACTTTTATGAGTTCCTTCAGTTTGTTGACCATTGATAAGAAAAAAAATTCAAGTTTGTTGTTGTTATTTGTGAACTGTTTACGTAACCAGGACGCATGTTGGTTCAACCTTTTGCCTCAGTATGTTGTTTTGAGATCTTGTGTCTGATTATTTATTATTGCATGCTTTTTAGGTTCTGATCAAATAAGTGATGTATTCTTTTCAGACAGATATTTGGTGTCATTATCTTATGTGTATAACACATTTAAAAAAATTTGTAAGTTTGGCCAAGTAAATGTGTGAGAATTCTTTCTCTGTACAGTTTTATTATCTGTAAATTTATACTTTCTAAAAAAATGGCAGCTGTAGTCTGCTGTAATGTACTATACTTGAGAAGTGTCGTCTGCCATGTGTGGATGTCTTTTCTGTTTATTCTTATTTTTTAGCCAGAATCATGATAAGACTTGACGGTGTTCCTAAAGATATAATTTATCAACCACATTCTCAGAACAAATAATAATTCTGGACATTTCAGTAAATATGCAGATACTTCAGCTTGATCTCACCTTTCAGTTTTTTTCATTCTAAATTCTGGATATGCATTTGGATGAAACTTGATTGAAACTCATCACTTATTCTTTCTTATCAAGTTTAAACTAGATAAAAACCAAATCAGAATGTTATCAGACCATAGTGGCATGCTTTTTTACAAAGTTATTTGAGTTGTCTGTTTCATTAGAATTGCATATTATCTTAATCTAATGTGTATCTTTTCTTAACCCATTTGCCGTCAGCCTTTTTTCTGGCTGACATTTCATGCACCGGAAATGAAAAAAAAAATGGATAAAAGTTGGCAAATGTTTGTCTCCTGTGTGGATATATATTGTTTGGAACACCCACAGTTTAAAAAAGAATGATGCCCATTGATTAATGAATAACGGCCTGATGGCAAAGTGACATAATATTGGCCCTGGGTATAGGTACGATAAATCTTAGGAAAATGATGTAAAAGAGTTCAGTATGTTAAGTGTGGCATTGATTAAGTAATAGATACTAAATAAGCATTGAACATTTAACCCAAGTCCCTTCCAAGGCGTGGGCACTGGTACAGTAAACTGACAAAAAAGAATTAAGATCCAAGTAAAGGAGATGAATGTTGAATCTTTAAAAAAATGAATCGTAGGAAAAAATGGGCAAGCTTATGCAGAGCCCCTCATTGATTTAACATTGGATGTGCGTTAGTATCGAGTTCCAACTGGAGTCGTATCAGTGGCAAGTACAGTAAGTTGGTAATCAATTAATTCCATTAGGATCCAGTTGACCCTCACCGCTTGGGCGAGCCTGGGCCATTGATTACCCATTTGTCATTAAACAGTTCTGAATTTCAGCTTAATGACTTCTGCTCCGCGGGGAAGTAGAGGGAAGCGAGAGAGCGAAAGAGAGAGGGGAGATGAATGTCTTTGTCATGCTGAGTCCATTAAACAGCTGGAAATACTTCTGTAGATATTGTTAGAAAGGTTATTTCATGAAAAATGTATATTGGTTGGAATTAACAATTACAAAATACTACATTTTCATTATGAGAATCATATTATGGATACTCATAATTATTTAAAATTTGAAACTATTACATTGCATTAAGCTTTCCTTTAACAATTTAAAAAAGTTGTGAGTATCAGTTGAGAAATCGTGTTTTGATGCTTTCAGTTTCCAGGTATAGGTAATGACTTCTGATGTTACAATGAAACTGCTTATCTGCTTAAAGTTTGACATTAATAATCACACCATTACTCTTTAAAAGAAGGTATAACTTCTCCCTCTCACCCCTCTTTCGCTCTCTTTCGCTCTCAAATCATTTTGAATACTTATGTACAGTAAATATTAATTTTTGTTACATGTGTTGTTATTTGCAGTTGAAGCAGGAAAAAGTTGAACCACAGAATCACATTGTCAAGTATGTAATGGACTTTTAAAAACCTGAGCCCATGAAGTATGATTGCATTCATATCATATAAAACTATTGACGTTGTCCACTTTCAGCTGAACCTTGTGATCCAGAACCTCCCTGCATCCAGTGGGCAGTTTCAGTGTGCGTTCACGAGCTACGACACGCGCTACAATACCCAGACTACCACTGCCATTCGCACAAGGTCTGGAATCCAGTGCGACACTCCGTACCCCAACATTCTGCCTCCTATACCGACTGGAAAAGGTGAGATGATGCTTTGATAAAAATTATCTGTGGAGACTTGGTTTTTTATCCCCTTTAAGCCCAATGAACTGGGAAGTAACAACAGCCGTCAAGTAGACTGAATTTTTGTTCATTTAACTAATACAAATTCATATCACCCTCGCTTATAGAAGATTTTACAGAAAGTTTCTTTACTTCAAAAAATACAAGACATTTTGCACTGTGTTAAATGAAATGTACTTTAAACTGCTTCTAATTTAATGAAAAATGGCATAATCAAATTACTCTCTGGCAGCTAAGGTTAATTTTTTCAAAAGTACATGTAACTTTAAGTGTCATATAGAGCCGTGCAAAAATATCTGTCAAAAAAAAAAGGAAGACCACTAGAATCATAAACTCATAAAGAAAAGGGACTCTAACCGCTTAATCATATTTTAATGTTTGCATTCTGTCAGCCTCAACTTCCTCATGTCACATTAGGTCAAGATTTATTGTGACCTGGGGACATTTCAGACATACTTGTCCTAATTTTTCTACTTGTGATGAGCCACTTTGAAACCAATTTCCTATTCTGACACCTATCTCATGTATGGGGCATGGTGGGTTATGTAGGCATTTTAATTTAGTTCTGTTTTCTAATGTGAGAGGAAATACAGAGTTTGAGAGTAAGGAAATTATTTATTGTAAATTAAGTACAAATTTGCAGCTCTGCATGCGCAGCAGAGGGTATTTGGTGCAAAAGGACTAAAGAATCACTTGTCGCAGTCACAAATTAGGCAGTAGCAATGTCTTGATTAACAATGGCGGCTGTTAATGCTTTGGGATGTTGCATGCAGTGCATTATCTGCGACGGCAATTTTTGTCTCTGAAAATCACAGTTATTCCAAAATGCAGAAAGCAGGACAGTTTCCATTTTAGGGATTAAGTTGATAGTATTGTACCCCATGAAATATCACATGTAAAACAGTGCAAGTTTCTTCCAGTACACCATTCCTTTAACTGTGAAAACACTCAGAGCTTTGAGGCACTAAGAGACAATAACAAAAAATTTCATTGTGGAAAACAAAACAATCACTACTTCTCTGAAGTTGCTAGTTTTTTTCCCCCTCTGTGCAATCCCCCACCATTAACATCACCAGTCGTTCCGCTATACAGTGTTAACAACAGTAATGATTCCAGCGATAACAATGTCACACAACTGACAGATTAAGCCACTTGTTTCGGTCCCTGGAGTGTTCCGTCACTTAACTGACAAATGGACGACTTGGACAGGGGACAAGATAAAAAAGATTAAGTAGAGTGAAAATGCCAGGGAGGATAATTTAAATGTCACTGCTTTTAGAATATTGGGAATTGAAAATCGAATCAGGGTAATTTACTCTTCAGTGGTAAATATGTTAAAGAAAATGTAGGTTTTTGTACAAAAAGAAACATAATATGAACTAAA